CGCGAGAAATCGTTTCGAAATTATAGAACGAAACGGTTCCATATCGGTTCCGAATCGATCAATGTTTGATAACATTTAATAAAAATCTAATCTGACGATTTATCAAAGAAATTTAAGTTTCAAAAACGTTAAAAAAGTTACTCCATTAAACTGTAACTAACATCTCGAGTCACTGAGACTTCTTGCATCAAACTCGAAACACCAATATTGTGCTACCTCTCGTAGAAAGGAATCTTCCTCGAAAAGTCGCCATCAAAAATTTTCCACTCCGTCCACGAAACATTGAAATTCCCCGTCGATGTCCCCACTCGGATATTTTTCGTTAAGAAAGTGATCCAGTTACGGAGATACGCTTGCAAACCTCGGAAGAACGAAGTCGTAAACCACGACTGGAACCCCCTCTGTTGCAACGATACCCATATCCGTTTCGGTAATAGACAGATTTTCCGCTATATCTGCGCGATACGAGACGAGATTCGCGCAATAATCGGCGACACAATGACGCTCGAGCTCGTGGAACGTTCGGTATTTATTAGACGGAAGCGCGGCGCGGAGGCAGAAACGACATTTATATTCATAACGAAACGAACCGGTTCCGCCCCTTGTTCCGTACCATCGATGTTTACCCTCGGCAAATACAACGTGGAAATCATTCACCGAATCCTATTGCTCGCCCTCCCTCCCTCCCTCCTCTCCAATCCTTACTTTTATTCCCTCGATCCGATTCTCACGTTCGAGATTCATGTTGTTGATTTTTTTTTTGTAATTTGTTTCACAATTGCGAAACAAACGATATTGGCAACCGAGGGGATCGACGACATTGAGGGTAATATAAATATCGATTTTTTTTTCATTTTTTATGAATTGATGTGATATTTTTTAATAATTCTCTTTTTTTTTTTCGAGGCCGATATCGTTGATGGCACGATCGTGTCTTGTGTAATTGCGCTTATGAATGAACGAGAGTGTACATTGATGAAAAATTGTTGAAAATTGTAAAAATATATTTATATTTTTTTTTATAATTCGTTTGACGAATCATTGGAGGATTAATTTTGGATTAATTTTATTTTGTTCGTTGGTGAAGTTTTAATTCAATTTCAATCATTCATTATCGAATCGATTATTCAATAATATTTTATATTCTAGAAAATCTATTTGACAAATCGTAAAGTTGTACAATTACAAACAATAGCTCGTATACGTAACTTTTACGCTGTACAAACGATATTTCAAATTCATCACGGCAAAGTTATATTTCATCAAAAAAAAAAAAAAAATCGTCGCTATTTTTAAAACGAACTTCAAATATCTCGTTCAATTTAATAACGCCCTAGATTGCAAATAAATGTTACGATAAAATAAAATAAAAAGATTCACAAAACGAAAAATTCACGTACGAAAATTTCGAAACGTTGGTTTAATATCTCAAAGATTAAATCACTAGGAAAAGTATTATTTAAATTACGAAATATCGTTTCGAAATAACATCAGTTAACTCAAAACGTAAATATTCCATTCTCAAAAAAATCGAACGATCTATTTCTCTTAAGTTTTAAACTTACTTACTTTCAGCTTACCATATCGCACATTTATTTGTCTGAAAATAAAAAAAGAAAGAATACTTGTGAAGTAAGTAAGCTGAAATTGCAAAAGAAATACTATTTATAAATCCCTTCCCTTGACTTGACTTCGACTAATCACACCGCCACAATTGAAAACGCAAACAAAACGAAACCGATGGTCGATGGCTTCCGATGTTCCGGAATGAGGTTTTGGATCGTTTTGAATTTACATGCTGGTGATCACGTCCGTGGCGCCAATCCGCGTACCAGATTTTCCCGCGATGCGTTTATCGAAATGGAAGAGCGGGCAACGGCCGCTTGTCATTCCAACGTGTGCAACGGGGATTAATACGAGAACGCGACGAGTAATTTTCATCGGGATTTGGTAAACGTAAATCGCCGATTGAATAGAAATTATGGTCGAGCGATGACTATGCGTTCCAATCGTCCGCCTCCATGACTTTTGTTTCCACGATTCCTTCATTTTTCTATTTGATTGATTATTTATCTCGTTATTTTCACTCTTTCCTTTTTCTTCGGAGGAGAGATTTAAGAAATTTATATTAAACACAAATGTGTTATGTTGCGAGGAATAATGTAATAAGTAGAGACTAGGTATTATCTATCAGCTATTCCAAAGTAATGTTTTATGGCAGAGAAATAATTCACGTTCAATCGGCTTAGTACACATAATGTTCGATTATGTAAAACATCTTCTCCAGCTGGTCTCCACCATTTTTACCAATGCAATCCAATAAATTTTGCTCGAGAGAAATTTCCATAGAGCGGAGATAATCAGAAAAATAATTCATTGGAAAGCTGGTAAAAGCTGGTACCTTCTTTACAATGGACAGAATCGATGGAGGACTAATACCTACGATCCATTGTTTCCAAAAAAAAAAAAAATAATAAGTACAGAAGAAAATAATTATTTAAATAATTTTCATTGGATATTTATACAAAATTGAAATAAAACAGTGCGAATAACATCCTATTTTAACATATCTAAAATTCATTTCTTCATATCGAAATTTTCTTCAATTAATCACCTTCTACAAAATTTATCAATCAAACTTTAACAACCGAACATCCAATAAACTATTCCTAAACTATTAATAAACTTACGATCCTGGCTATCACAAACTTCGTACCATTATCCAAACCACAAATCGTCATTGACAAGACAATGTCGAAGTTCTCGTTCAATTATTCGAGGATCGAGTTAAAGAAGGATCGTCGCGATTTCGCAACAAATATCCCCCGCGAAAAGAAGAAGAAAAAAAAAAAAGGAAAACTCAGTCACTCCTCGAGGATGCTGCCGAGCACGCCGTTTATCCGGAATCGTGAATTAAATATTCATCGGAATCGATTCGAGCCGAGGCAGAAGACCCCTCCCCTCCCCTTTGGTCCATGGGAATTGTGATACGTTTCAGGGAACGCGCGTTCCTCCCCAATCCAACATGCATCTAACATTCATGAATTTATCCGATCCGCTGAACTTTTATCGCGACGAGGGTGAAGAACGCTTACTGGCGGGAAATTTCCATCGTTGCATTGGTTGTTTAATGATACCCCCGTTTCAGAGGGGTATCAACGCGAAACTCGAGCTCCGTGATCGAAGGTAGGATCGGTTTCCAACTTATTATTCCGTAGTGGAATTTTAGAGGGGGTCCGAAGAGGATTCTTATTGAAAGATTTTCCACACCTGGCTTTCTAGAATTCGCTTCCCCGGAAGGAGAAATTTTGTTTCTTCGACGACGAGTTGATTACAGTGATATAATCGGAACAGTTTATGCGTTTAAATTTATGTGTTTGCATTTATGTTAGTTTGATGAACTATTATAGATGATTAAATTTAATATTTATTATCGTAAATCGTAATAATCGTTAAATTAATTCTGATTTCTTTCAGGAACAAACAATTGGAAATTTCCAACACGAGTCACGAGGAGGATCGAGTTAACGGTCAATCGTAGAAAAATATTTACCTAAGAAATGACTGTGATCGTGGTTTCTCGAACGATCGAGTATTTTCAATGTTTACCAATTATGAAAGAAAATAACGAAATTTAGGATCGATGTAACGAATTCGTCAGTCGGAATTTGGTGAAATAACACCAGGTGTTTCGATTTAGATTAGTTTTTGCCTCGCACACGCGTTCTTGCAAACTGTAACAATATTTATTTTTACACACGCGTGAATCGTGGCATGAGAGGATGTGGTATTACGTAAACGATGGAAAAAATTCGGTCAATAAAGTACACAAGAGAAGCAAATTTAAATGGAAGATCGAATCTTACTCGCCAGAAAATTCATCGAATCGAAACAATTAAATAAAATTTACAAATTTTTCGCATCGAATAGAAAATGTCTAATTTTCAAGATAAATCTTTAAATAGCTCGAAATAATTTTTTCCACGCCTATATTTATTAAATAATAATACACTTGTGAAGTGAAAAGATTGAATGGAGTGTCAATCCAAAAATAAATTAAAAATTCTAAATTTTTCGTCTTTAGCAAAATAAAAAATATCATGAAAAATATGAAACTTCTTCTTCTTCCACGAGTTCAAGCAACAGCTTTCTCTACACACTCACTATTAAGGACCCGTCGTATTCTGCATGATTCTGCAATTACGAAAAATTTATGCAAGGCGTAAAGGCGACTTCGTGCGTTAAGATGGCCGCAGAAAGGATCTCTGGGTTGAATGTCTTGCTTGCCACGGCAGTTACTTTTAATTAGAGCGCTAGAACGCTCTATCTTTGAGCGTTTAAAAGAGGGGAAAGCAGAACACCGACTTAGCAGCAATTTTTACCCATTAAGAGTCTCGCGAGACCAAGAAGAATAAGACCGAAATTTTCTTGCACAGACTTTCCCTATTCTATTATTCTATTTCTTTTACACTTCTATTCTACCATTTCCTTCCCTTCGTAATTATTCAAATATTCGATTCGCAATTATTCTCACAATTATCGTGGATTTTCCTTCTCCTGGGAAGAAAAATATTTTCTTGAATTTTATCATCATTAATAGATTTATTAACGAAGAACACAAGATTATTTTTATTATGATGATATCGAGGAATATTTGTTTAAAAATATAAGCAATGATTATCTGCCTATTATTTATTTTTTTTAGTTTTTATAATTTCCCTAATTAATCGGGTATTAATTATCGTTTAACGATAAACAATTATTTCGATATCGATGCAATCTAAAATATTTTAATAAAATATTAATATTCATATTTTATAACCATATCAAAATAGGAAATAAATTGAAATATTTTATCACTTGGGCCAATTACTGACAATTAAAAATCTTTAATATCGAGCGATATTTTAATTAGCACACAGTTCAATTTGTTAGTAACGACACACAGGATATTGTTAAAGAATTGATTACCATCGATTTAATCATTCGTTTGTACTCACCCTTCGACTGTTACCATCTTTTGGGTTCAGGTCCGAGGCCACAGTGCCGAAAATGGTTGGCTGTAACAGAAAACACGTTTTTTGTCGATTATTTATATATCATTTCAAACAAATCACAATCACAATCAAAATGCAATTGATTTATTAATTTATATAAAAACATTTTCATATAATTCGATTTTCTCTTCCGTCGAATCGAAAATTTTAAGTTTCACGATTTCAAATTTCATTCATATCATATAGTCGTTTTATAAGTAACGCTAATGGCGAAAATCGAATAATTAGAGATATAGAAATTAATAGAATTAATAGAAAGTAGAATAAAAAATTTCTAAAAAAATTAACATATTTTAACAATAATTTAAAACTACAACATGCAAAAGTAATAAAAATATTTCTTTCTAATTTATTTTTTTACGAATAATTATAAAAATTAAAACGTAGATGACATAAACTTTGACGTTGAAAATTTATTTCAAAATGATTTCAGCTTTATTTCTTCATAAAATATTGAAAAAGTAATTAAACTACTACTCAAATATTAATAACCGGTTATCGAATAATAATAAATCAGATCAACCTATTTCATATAATATAACGGCTTCCCAATGTTATAAATATCGTTAAAAATATAATTTTTCACAATTTTACTATTTTTCCATATGGACAATTATTATTAATCACCTTTTAAAATATCCATCGACGAAATCCACGGCAGAGAATCGAATCGATTCAAGCTGCGTTTACATTAAACTTCGATCTAATACATCAAGTAAAAAAATAAATAAAAAAAAAAAAAAAAGGAAAAACGAATCGTAATATTGGAATCTGATCGAAAGACCAGAAATCATTGTCTCTCGGCCAGAAATTCGCGCAGGCGGTCAACCAAAAGTTGAGCCAATGTAAGCACAGTTTTCAGAGGGGAGCGGAGAAGAATCAGCGGCGATCGATCGTCGCAAAAATCGGCAATTACACCTTTCAGCTTTTAACCGGCGGAATATCGCGGTTTTTTCAATCGAACCTCTGTCAATTCTGGAATGGGAAGGGATGATTTCCCACGTGAAATCGTGCGGATGTTCGGGAAAACTGCCGAAACGCGGCAGTAAAAGCTGTCGCCTCGTAAATCTGCGGAATGCCATCCAGTCCATGGCTGCAGTCCACCCATTAACTGCCACCCCCCCCCCCTTCTAACCGAGGAAATGCATTCTCGCCTGGTTGTATTGGTCGGGGAAGTAAGAGGGATCCTCTTTCTGGGGATGTATGAAAATAAAGAATAAAGAAAAAGAAAAAATATATATATATACAGCAAAGGGGTGAGGAGGAAATAAGGGTGTCTAGAAATTATAGCCCGGGTATAGTTTATGCGGAAAAAAGAGGCGGAGACTTGGTGATTTAGCGACGCAATCTCGCTTAATTCGACCCCTTCCTCCGGTACAAATGGAGGATGCTGGAGTAACAACTGTGCCGTTCCATTATCTGCACGATTGTTTGCGGCCCCGTTTGTTGGTTTAATTCATTGTGGCGAGTCTCGGATTCGTGTGATAGATTTTTTTGCCCCAATATGAAATTCGTGGAACGGAGTTGAACAGGTTTTCGTGAAGAGGTTCTCTTCGTGTCTTGTTAATTTTTCTGGTGAGCTTTGAATTTATAGATTTAGATTTTTCGCTCGAATATCAAATTTAAGAGAGCTCGAATGTTGGATAAGATATGTTATAACGTTGATTGAAATCAATTATAATATTTATCGATACGATATTTCGGTTAGAAGATATCCATATCGATTAAACGAAACACGAAACTGTTCGATTCGTAGAGCTCGAAATTCTTCGACAAATACACGACAATTCTGTACACATTGGTCGTATATTATATCTCGTATCGATATCGAATCTTCCAAATGAATCAACGAATGAATCGATAGTTAAAAAAAAAAAAAAAAACGAACGAGATAAAATGAACGCCACTCGAAAAATCGATAATTTCGTAGCAGAATAGATCAAAGGATTGTTAGAAAAGAACAGTGTTACGCGAGCGCTTGGAAAAATTGTATTCTGTTGCATTAATCTCTTTGACGATGAATAGGAAATTGACGATCTCAATCTATTTACGTTTTCCGATGTAACAGGAACAATGGATATATACAAATATATTTGATATGAATTAATTATTAGACACGGTAATTATCCATTGTCATCGACATTATACCTTCGTGTCCCGATTCTCTACCATATTATTTTGTCATTCAATAATAAATCACACGTAAATGCGTATCGTAAATTCCCCAATGGTTTAGAATAACACATCACCGGTAATAATCCCGGTAATTCTATTGTCTCCAATCTCAAATCAGATCATGTCGGTTGCGAATCGTTTGGATCAATAATATACAGCCATTAATCGACCCATTGAATTGAATTTTCAATTCCTAATCTAATTTCCACTTTTCTCTCCTTCTAATTACGTCCTTAACGTTAATAAAATTCAATTCATCTCAGAAATTTCTTCAATCCTTGAAATAATTCTTTTTGAAAGAATATTTGAAAAGATACCTAAATTTGATCCATGTCTGATGCAATCAAATATAACAATGCTAAATATAAGGAAGCCAATATCTGAATGAATATTTTTTTTCGAAAAAAAAAACATTTTTCACAGTTCACCCGTATAACAACGAATATCGGCACGCAATATAAAAAATAATCATTATCCTGTTTGGCGCAACGTCGAAAAAAAGAAAAAAAGGAGGACAGCACAATATCAAGCAAACAATTCGAGGCGAATCAATATTACGTGTCACATGGTTAAATATAACACCGCGTGAATCGAGTTTTCCGTTATTACGTACACGTTATAGCAACTATTTGAAAAATTAATTAAATCTCCGCGGTACGCGCTTAGTATTATTTATCCCGATGTTTATACAAATTTCAAAACGTGTAGCTTCTCGGCGCTTCGAATGGGCAGCTGTATGTTTCTGTATTATTATATACGAAATATGAAACCGTGCCTCTATGATACGTGCACGTTCGATGCGATCGGTAAATCAATGAAATTAAAAAGGACTGGCAATTGTGACTGTTGTGTTTTTTTTTTTTAGAATGAAACTTTCTTTTTCACGAGTCAAATTTATTCTTCTTTCGTTTATTTATTTCTTTTCCTTTTTTTTTCTGAATCCGAACAAAAAAAAAAGAAAGACGAACGGGCTCCTGTTCGTTTATGAAAGCTTCGAACGTAATTCGTGATAATATAGGTTGGAGAAAAATCGATGTGAAAACATGGAGAACATAAAAACTCACTCAGAGTAATTGTTATCAATGTGGATGTACAATAGGAAAAAAAGACGATTGGATAGAGGAGAAGTATTTGGAAAATGATGCGAAGGGAGGCAGGATTGATGAAAATTTGTGCGAATTTTCGAGGATATTTTATATAATATTATTTATATAATATTTTATATAATAGAGGATATGTGTCGAGAAAGAAGATTATATGATATAACTTTTTAAATCTAGAATTATTGTTATTATTATTATTCAAGAGGGAGAGAAGTTAATATTATCTTGATAGATAAATTTCTCCCTAATTTTGTTAACACAATTAACATACTATATCCATAGAGAAATTATAAAAATATCCACTATGAAATTTCCTGTTTCATCGTTGTCGTCAGTAAAAATTTTCAAACGTAAGAAATTATAAAATTTTCCTCCATCCAGAGATACCAGTTTCTTCCGGTTCGTCCGCGATATCAAGCCAAGATTCTTGACGGCACTTCGTAATTTATGACGTAACAGGGTCAGGTACGACACGTCGAAGGAGAAAAACAAGTCGAACATCCGCAACACGGAATCCGCGCTGAATCGTTCCCTCCTTATCTTTATCCGCTTCGGTGGATCGGTCAACAATCGCGTCCCTAATTCGAAAAAGCGACGAGGAAAAGGCTGTTCGACGAGGCTATTCTCGCGAAAAATTTTTTCACAATTTTCTCTCCGTCTTGTTGTTCTTCAATGAATTAATTTCTTCTTTTTTTTTTGTTTCCTTTCATTATGCAAGCTAAATTTTTCTTATGATTGATTTTACTTCTTAAAAATTTTCCTGCCTATAATATCTCGTGATTAAATTACATATTATTATTGTTGTTGTTATTGTAAATAAATGTTTTTTTAATTATTTATTTAATTTATCATCTCTTATCATTAAGATGAAATTCTACTATCAATAAACTATACTTTCTTTGTCATTAATTTTAAATGATGAAAGTTATATATACAAATTTTTTGATCGAAAATTGAAAAAAATCTAAAAAATAAATAAATTAATGGAATAAGAGTTTTTTTTTTTTGTTACTTTCGATCTCTTTCTACTCTTTTTCTTATACTTCTTCTTCGACATCTTAAGAAATTTCGATCCATTTATTTTTAGAAATATAAGAAAAGAAATATTAGGTTTCTGTCGAAACGATATCAAAAAATTTACGTGTACGTACAATCGTATAAAACACGTAAGAGATAGTTTCGTTATCAATGTCGTGCCAATTCCGCGGATTTCCCTTTGTTCCGCGTTGAAAACCGCGTACAATGGAAACCTGCTCGTTGACAAAAACACACAGGAAACAAATGAAAACAAATAATCGAAAATCCGTGGGAAAATTTTATTCGGCTGAGAAATGTGCATCGCCATTTTTTTTAAAAACAAAAAAAAATGTTAACCAAATGAACGCTTCTCGTGGAAGGAACAATGGAAAGTGGCTTTTTTCAAACTTCATCCGCCTCGAAAATGATTGACATGAGCGAATATAAGTAAAAGTGTATATAAATTTTCACCGAAAAATATTAGAGAAGCAAATATAATAGAATGAAAATTTCTAGCAGAAATCGTGGAAATCTTCTTCTATTGAAAATTATTTTAAAAAGAATCTACAATATTTAACAAAATTAAATATTTCACAAAACCTATTATTATTTCTTAATGTAAAATTTAAAAAAATCAAGATTGAATTTAATTCAATCTTTAGTGATTGTACATTGATGAAATTTATTAAAATTGGTTTCAAGATTTAA